ATATGATTAAACCTATAGCTTAAGGGAATAATAGCCTAAAGGGGCTAAATAATAAGAAAGGTACGCATTCCAAGGTACTAACTGAGTTTTATTCTGATAATAAATTTGAAAATATATTTAAATTTCTTATTTAAGTCAGAAATACAAAAAACATTTAAACTTGTATATTTTTCTATGAAATTTTCTATATTTATTGGAGAATAATAAATAYAAAACATGTGGATTTACGTAAGATTTGATTTAACAACTAAATAAAATTCGTTTTAAAAATTATTATTGCTGAAAGACTCATGAAGACATKTTGAATCTCATTTAGGTTTACGATTTACAATATTTCATCACTRAATAAATTCGATTTTAGGCGTTTTGTGACACGTGTATACATCACGTGTAAGGTGTAATGCGCTTAACCCGCACGGTTGATTTAAAATCGACTTCATAATGAATTAAAATATTTTTTTTTAAATTACGATATCGGAGTAAAACTCAAGTTATAGTGCGATGTAACGCGTCTATTTTGCTCCAAATAAAAAAAAATTAAAAAATGTGTTTATGCAATGAATTGTATTTATTTAAAAGAATTCGTAAGTGGATGGGGTTCAGACTATTCGTTCGTATCCGTTCTCCACCGTTCACTATAGCCTTCGTTCTGGTCGCGATCGCAAGTGATTTGCTATGACGGGCCGAATGTCATTCTCATTGAATTGCGTTTTATTTGATCTTATCGTGTAGTCGCCGCCACCAGTCGCGAACAAATTACACGAATTCGCGTTCGCAGCCAAATRTAAATGCACCTTTRCAGCTGGTGGTCTCCATTAAACCTTCACTATTAGAAAAAATTAATATTTATTTCGACCACTGATAGTGTAATAATTTATAATKCACGTTGTTATGTAGAGCTGTTCGTTGTAATACTTAAGCCATATATACCCACCATCGCAAACTGTATATACAAGCTCGTGTGCTGTATACGGAGGTAGTGCGGTGTCTATACACAACAACCACCCYAGTACGTGCGTGCGGGCCCTTCCCACTATGGTAAAAAATAAAAAAATGTAATAAATGTTTACACAGGACTAGTGGCCGAGCGTAATTCTTTTTTATATTTCAGACAATTCCTGCACAAAACGACCCTCAGTCGCTAAGATGACTGYCACATGGCACTGCATTATGTATACCTACTACTGTGTATAATGTTATACGCGTTTTTGTATTAGGTGGCGTCCGGCGTTGAGCCTCGCCGAGGAGAATTATTATTATTTATGAGTTGTCCACGCGGAAACAGTAGTGGCGCTCAATGTGTATAGTATATATATAGACGGCATTTTCAATACATTTGCGTAATACCTAACATTGTCAAAAGTTGGTGTATTGACACAATTAAATTAATGAATGAAAAAAACTACATTTGCGAAAAAAACAAAACAGCAATAATAATAATTAATAATAATAATGATAATAATAATAATAATAATATTTTGTGCGGCGGTGGTGGCGACGACAAACTACTGTTACAGTAGTTGTAGGCGACAACGCGCGTCACAGACATCTGCAAGGTATTTATTTATATTTAGTTATCGGGAGGTTGAAGAAAAAACCTTTTGGTTTTTGGTAATGCGTCGATTAGAATACAAATTTAGCTTGTGTATTTCTGTCGTTATGATCATGTAATAATAATAATATATATATATATATATATACCATTATAGTTATATACTATGTGTTAAAATTGTAAATTAAAATAAACGGCGGTAGACCGTGAACGTAAGTGTAATAATATATTATTATTTTACCGACACACCTATAACCTACAGTTGCAAGCGCGCTGACAAATAGCAAAAAAGTTTCGGTAATCGA